GGGGGGCGCGTCGTTGTGGCGACGTCGCCGGGCTGCTCGCCGCTGCCCTTGTCCCGGCTGGTTGCTGAGCGGGATAGGCCGCGGGGGGGCATGAGCGGTGCCTCCGCGTCTCCTAGGTGTCAGTAGCGGGTAACTGCTCAGCCCCGAGGCCCTGAGGTCTCCGACTCGCCGGGCAGAAATCTCCGAGTAAAACCCGTTTTTCCAGCTGGGTTCAAGCTCTCCGTGGCACTGGTCACGTTTTGCTCGTTGTCCTTCTCGTACATCAACAGCATCGAGGGAGGGGGATATGTAAATCGAGTATATAGCGCAGAGCAAGTAGTGCTCAAGGGTTTTCTTGTTGATACAAGATGCATTAAACTTTGAACAAATCTCTACGCTTTTTAATTTAAAATTTGCTTGGCTTCACATCTGGGTGACTGAGCAATTGGAGATACATTTTAGCCTAGAATTAACATCAGTTTTCACTCTTGTGGCAGGGCCAGTCAGTGTTTTCTTCCCTGAAAAGACTGCTGTTCACATTTTTCTTTAAAAGCAGAACCTGACCAATTTGATTTTTTGTTTTGTTTGTTTCTCATTGGTGTCCACTGCTTTAAAGACACATAGACTTACTTTGAAGACCTGGTAGTTATTAAAAAAGATAAAATATATTTCATCATTTCTTCTCACTAACAAAATTTTGATCCTTTCTTTTTTTTTTTTTAGATCCTTTGCATATTTTACAATTAAAGACAGACTGCCCCAGATCCTCACCAGAGTTATTGATACTCTGCATCGACATAAAAATGAATTTTTTGAAGAACATGGTGAGGTAAGAAGAAAGTATCTCTTTTGCCTGAGAACCCCCCCTGCCCCATACACACTTTGAGGCCCGTTTCCTCCTTTGCGTTTGCAGGTTTCTTAACCACAGTCATTACTTGTCTGTCTGAATCCTTTTGTCTGTTGTTTTTTTCCTTTATCATCTCTTTCTCGTAGCTTTTTTTTCGTTAATTTTGGAACTCCCTGCTCTGTCTAACCTTTTTCTGATCTGTGTGTTCTGCAGCAGCGTCACTTTCTCAGGTTTTTGTGTTGATGCAGACTTCAATAGGTTGTAGCATCTCCTGAACACGGCAGTGTTTCAGTACTCCATTCTCCTCTGATGAGCAGAAAGTCCAGTCTAAAAAGAAGTCCCGTGCACGATTCCTTTTAGGATGTTGGATGTAAAATGAGCTTTGGTCACCAGTATGTGTTCAGTTGAATCAAGCTCTGATTTGTCGGGGATTCGTGTTTGGCTATTAAAAATTACCACTTAACGTCTTTCATGAAGACGTGATCAGTGTCTCTAGAGGAATAAATGTTCAGAATAGGAACTCTTGTTCCCCACTTATTTCAGAAGGGTGTTGAAGCGGAGAAGAGAGCTATATCTTTCCTCTCCAAACTGCGGAATGAACTGCAGACGGACAAACCGGTGACCCCCTTAGAAGATGATCTGCCCGATGCTGCGCTGTGGAACCAATACCTAGACTACCAGCGAAATTTATCAAATGGAAATGGAGAACCGAGCTGGTTTCAGTCCCCTTGGTTATATGCTGAGTGTTATATGTATCGAAGAATTCATGCGGCATTAGTACAGAAGTAAGTATTTATTAGCTTGGTATGTTGCTGTGCAAAACGTTATTCTTTCCCTTTTTTTTTTTTAGGAGGAAGGAAGACAGCTGGGGAGTAAGATAAAGGAAAATCTTAAGCTTTTACCTTATTCTTTTTCCTTCGCCTTGCACCTCAGATTTAAAATTAATACTTTTTCTTCTTCCATGCAGCATTTGGTGTTTTTTTTATGCTTCAGTTTCTGTGACTTGGTCTACATGAAAACTCTTAAGCTTGACTGTAAGGCTTGCCCTTCTTGCAGACTAATGTGCATTGAGATACGAAAGTTATTTCGCATTTCTAGAAGGTTTTTAGTCTAAAATTATCTCCTAAGACACACATCAGCCTAAAACACAAAATGCAAGAGCCGCTAACCTGATGGGTGTTCTAACTCGTTTTGCTGCTCGAAACCTGAAGTTACCGTTTGAGGACTGCTCCTTACAGCACTCGACCCAGCTTAAGCAGCCCCAGCTGTTGGTTCTGCACCATCTTCTTAGTTACAGTGGTGTTTGCAGACTGTATGTTGCATCGAACTCTGGGAGCTGATCCTGGTTAAAAATAACTTGGCAGGGAAAGCTTGTGCTGGTTCTGTGGAGAGGTGCCAGTACAATGTAATGGGGTAGGAGTGAGCAGTTGAAGTTCCTGCTGCTACCAAAAAATATTGAAAGGTCCGTGCATTCTGGATTTGCCCCTGGTATTACAGAGACGCAAGCACGGTAATGGGACTCTTGTTTCTACTGGTGTATTGCGTAATTTGAACTCTTCTAGCAAAACCTTCAAATATGAGATGGATTGGCTGGATTGCACTTAAAAAAAAACCTGAGCAGATGCTTTTCATCAGTGAGCTTTAAGTTTCTCGATCTCCATTATTTAGCTGCTCTTAAGCGCACACTGAGATGGAAGTTCAATCATTTGTCAAAAGGTGTACGTGCAAATATGTCTCGTGATCAATGAATCTGTATTTCTTACAAGAACTGAACTGTTTTGTCATCTTTTTTGTGTTAATTTTCTAACGTCCTAGTTAAAAGCTGTCATGAGAATAGTATCGCCGTAAGCGACTCGCGTATGGGAAGTACACTTCAGCACCCACAAAACGTGCGTAGAATTGGACCAGCAGATCACCCCATCAGTTCACTTGTATGTTATCATTTTAATTCTCCGTGTCTGAGGACCGCCCTTCAGAACTGCCACTCTGTGTGCAGTTCCCAGAATTGCTGGTGCTCGACGCTTGTTCGCTTCCAGGGTATATGGTTAGAAATGCAAAGATGTATTGTGTACAGTCATTTCTAGTGAGGTATGGAATCAGGCTGCTACTGAGATGTGTGAAAACCCAGTATGACAGTTAGGAGTGGAAAATCTAGCCAAGGCCAGTAGTGTGGCCTAAAGAAGCTGAGCTTTGTGCTTGCATTTTCAGGTGTGTTTCATGTAGTGTCATGGAAAATGTGGCAGGTATGTTATTATTTTTGTTCTTCTGTTTTTAGCCCACCTATTGACAACTTTGATGTATTTAAGGAAGGAAAGGCTCAAAACTTCTTTGAATCCCAAGAGGCTGTTATTGCTTTATGCACTTACTTTCAGGAACTTCTTAAAAACATCAAGGATCTAGAGGAAAAGCAAGTTAAAGAGGAACTTTTTAAGCTGCTGCAGGTAAGCCAGTGGTGCATACCATAAGAATTGAAAATATCTCTCCTATGTAACAAGAAAAAACTTGAGGTTATAAAGAATCTGAACTTCAAATGGAAAGCAAAATGTTGCTCTTTTGTTTGTAATAATGTGGTGAAATCCTGACAGCCGTACTGTATTGCGGCTACTCTGGAAATACTTAACTTCTGGTTAGTTGTATTAGATGTGACGTTTTCATTATACTGCTGGTCTTTATTGAGGATTTGATAACTCTGCTTATTCTCCCTCAAAATCAGTATCTCTGAAACATTTAAAGTCACATTCCAGAAGGCCTTTTTATTAATCTAACTATAAAATTTTAAACCAGTTCATTTTATTGACACTCTAAAAAGTTTTAGACTTCTTTGGAAGAAGTAGTCAGAAGTCAGTGTGGGTTGGAAGTGGTTTAAAAGCTTTATAACTGCATTATTCTTGGAAAAAATGGTGCCTTTGGGTAGAATGTGAAATCTCACAGTATTACACATAAGTCCATTAGCTAGCAACAGTGCACACCAAGTATCTGATGCATCTTTATAAAGGTCATATTTGTTTGTACTTACAAGTTCTTACTTGGCTGGATATAATAAAAAAATTAGCCTGCTTTTATTACTCCTTTTGCTGTGTCCCCAGTGATACTTTCTGGAATTGCAGTATGGAGAATGTTTGTGTTTTAAGCTTTGTGATCAGTGTATTTATGTTGATCTAGATCTCCTGTCTCTGTTCACTTCTGCTGCGTGTTTCTGATGGCTGCATAAGTACAGAGCATTGTTTGGTTCCTTCCACAAAATCTTGTCTGTATTAAGACCTCTGTACAAAAAGTTGATCTTGGAGGAAGATGTGGAGTTAGAGCCTTCATGTCCCTAAAATAAAAGCAAACAAATTCTTTAGGGTATGTGAATTTTAAAATGTTATTACAGTGAGATTTAGCACTTTTTTTTTTTTTTTCCCCCTCCTTCTAGGTGTCACTGTGTGGCAATAAGTGTGACCTTTCTTTTTCAGCGGGTGGAGACAGCTCTCAGAAATCTAGTCCTTTACAATCCCTGGAAAACATGATACCTTACATCTTAGTGAATGATATGGAAAAACTTTGGTCACTACTTGTAAATGCCAAAAAAGGAAATACAGAAAAAAGTAATGTTAGGATTGACATAATCCTGGATAATGCCGGGTTTGAGCTTGTCAGTGATCTTGTGTTGGCTGACTTCCTGCTGTCGTCAAAGCTAGCTGATGAAGTCCATTTTCATGGAAAAAGTATTCCCTGGTATGTGTCAGATACTACAAAGCACGATTTTAACTGGACTATTAAACAACTGCAGTCAGCTAATCATATGTGGATGTCTAGGTGTGGGATAAACTGGGAGGGCAATTTGAAAAAGGGAGTTTGGGTTTACCAGGATCACATGTTTTGGACTTTGCCACATGACTTTTCCTGCATGGCTGAAGTTGCTCCTGACTTGTATGCTGATCTACAGAAGTCAAACTTGCTTCTTTTCAAAGGTGATCTAAACTATAGGAAATTAACAGGAGATAGAAAATGGGAATATACTGTTCCATTCCATCAAGCCTTGAACAAGTTTCATCCTGCACCTCTCTGTAGCTTGAGAACACTGAAATCTGACACTCAGGTTGGCCTAAAACCTGGACAAGGTGAACAGATTCAAGCTACTGAACCTGAGTGGATGGTAAGTGGAAAATACGGGGTCATTCAGTCTGATGCTGCTCTCTAGTTAAACGGTTCCTAATTTTTCAAAACAGAGATTCAGTCTGAGTTCTAACTACTTTCTCTGTTCCATGCTTGGCTTCAGCAAAGATTCTTTCTTGTTTTGCACTTTTTTCTCCCAAGTGATTTTTTGGGTTTTTTTTCCACAAAAGACTTCAATGTTGGACAAAAGTTTACAAACTGTTGTGTGTAGATAAATCCCTCTGCATTTCAATGTATTTTGTTTTCCTAATGTCCAGTGTCAGCAGATGTTTAATATGAATGTTTAGTTGTCCATAATACCTTTTTTTATCAGCGGATATGAGAGTTTATGGCTAACAAGTGAAAAATCTTCTGGAATCACTTCCTCAATCCCACATTAGCATGTATTTACTTGTTTCAGGTTAACTTGTTCCCCACATGCCATCCATTGCATGAAAGTGAATATTTTGGAGAATACACAAATCAATTCCAGATAGATTCTTTGCAACCCGTTGCAGGATCATATTTTGAAACTGTTAAAAATTGACTTCTACCAAGACTGTATTACATAAATTGTTTGTTACTTGCTCCTTGTGTCTGTGGGCAAATAACTTTTGATGTTCTGAGTATAATTCTCTGTACATCAAGAGAAAAGTTCTTGGGTGATGCCTTGTAAATATTAATTTAGAATTTGAAAATTAAATTTTAATTTTAAAACACAAGTGGATGTTGCTAGCCAGTTTGTCTGTAGGAGGGGAGTTGTCCCATCTGGTAGGAGGATCAGTGGGAGAAAGCACAATCCTATTTTAAGAACATGGAAGTTCTTGTTTATCTAAGAACCTCCACCAAAAAGAAAGCACACAAAAAAGTCCCCAAAGCAAACAAACCAACCCAACCAGTTACCTTAGCTGGGTTTTAGATTTGATGCGGATTTGAATTAAGGGCAGTCCAAGCACTGCTGCCTCTTTCCAGTGTGATAATTCTCTTTATTTGTAAATTTTTTTTCCCTATTTTTTTTTTTTTTTAAGAAGGATGCAATAGTTTTCACGGGGGATATACAGCCCCCGTCGCACCGAGCCGCGTACGCCAGAGAAGCATATGCCATACGCCACACAGGCTACTGCTAACTGGGGTTGTTGGGAGCCCGTTTCTTCTTTTCTGTATTCTGGTCTCAAATTACTCAGGATTTTGGGGAAAGTTTAGGGATACTTCAGTGGTTTTTCAGAGCGAAGCAAAATGCAAGTGGAAATGCATTATCCATTTATAAAGCAAAAAATTAAAAATAGGTTCAAGTCTTCATGTACCCCTGTGGTTTGAAACAGGCCTCCGATGGGGGGGCTGACGTAACGCCAGCGATAACCACAGGTTAGAAAACGGCGGCAGAATTGCCCATGGCCTGACTGGGTTGTGCTCTCGTCTAGGCCTGCGAAAATGAGGCGGACTTGCCTCTGGCCGCCAAGGTAGCTATTACAGAGAACAAGAGTAGACAGTAGAGAATCTTCCTGTTCTGTTTTTCATACGTCTTACACGGTGAAAAGGACGGCACAGAAGTGGCCTTACTTGAGTACCTTTTGGAAGTGGTGCTATGGCGAAGGAGTGGGAATGACTGGTAGGAAGTGGAGTTAGAAAGATTTGTGTGCTTATGGTTAACCTAAGACAAGGGTAAAATTTGACAGGCCTGAAGAAGTGGGTATGTGTAGGGGAAAGATGCTGCACTATTTTGTACCTGTTTTAGGCTTTGAAGCTGGATGCCCTTTTTGGTCAGTGAAACTGCCGGCAAAGCCCGTTTTCTGAAATGCTGCTTCTTGTGTTCCTACAATAAAGATCTATCCAGTGGACAAATATGCTCCAACTGCTGATGACCTTGATTATCTGTTTGTGGTGTTCTTTTTACATCTGAAGTTATATTAACATTTTAAAAGTTGCGAGGTCAGGTATTCAAAAACTGAGATGCTCAGAATTTCAGGAGGCAATGTGAAGTTGTAGGCAGGGTTCTAGTTTTGAGACCTGGGTTTAGTGTTCTCATCTTTTTTTCTATCTCTGGCTTACTATTCGTGAGGGATGAATTCATGCTTAGCCTTAGGCACCTGATTAAACTGCATAAATTAGAATTCCAGTCGAGAGCTGAAGGTCTCTGACTGGTGAGAGCTCAGGGGGACTTTGGTGCTTTGATCAAATACATAAACGACGTGATGAATTTCGGCACCGGAGCCTCAGTTTCTCATCTGTGAAAATGCTGTTAAATTGTTTCAAATGCTCTTCAAAACGACAGCTTTGAGTCAGGAACAGAGAGGGAGAAGTTGTGGAGTGTGTGCAGGGAAAACTTCCTGCCTTATTCAGAGAGACAGAATGATTAGGGGAAGAAATCTGCTTGACCTGTGGGGACAGATTGTCTGTAAGGTGCTGACTTACATTGCTGGAGAGGTTTCAAAGTGAGCAATGGGCAGGAAGAGAAAATTGTTTCACGGGTGAGACCATCCTTGAAGAACCGATTTGCCTCTTAGGCAATCCTTACACAAGCTGAGAAACTTGGTTTTGTTTTTCACTGCTTGTTAATCTGACTCTCTGCCCAGGTCGCTTTCAAGCGGTTACTTCTAGGAACCCATAATGCAGATCAATAAAAGCTAATATTCTGAAGTTATGATAAATAGAATCCTACAAAATGCTAAATCCCTTAGGAGATGCAGCAGTATTCCCTCAGTATTACTGGATCAGCTCACTGCAGATTGCTGCATGAATGTGTGTGAGGAAGCATGGTGGTGATTTCCTGAGTACCATACACATCTAATTCTCAGATTAGCATTTGAATGCTAATGTAAGATGTGATGTCATGCTGGGGAAGAAAAAAGGGAAATCAGTTCTCTATTGAGTGAGCACTTTTCATCTTTTGCCCCTCACAAAGAGAAGTTTGTATGGTAATGCACAGTGTAAGTGAGGAATGCACAGCCATTAACTCCCCAATACTTGATTGCTTAACTTCTGTAGCTGTACCTGCAAAGTGCTCTCTGTGGACAGAACTGAATATGCAGCATACTTTTCTATTTGTTGCTCTATCTTTGTAAAATTTTGATTGAGTGTATGAAACAACCCCAAACCATGGTGCTGTAATGCCAGTGTTATATTCTCCCATGCCACAAAGGAGTAGTGAGGAGAAATATTTGGATGAGGCGCTCTGCTCTCAGGTTAGCTACTGTTTAGTTGAAAATAGGAGATGCTTTTGTAGCTACTCAGCGTTAATTACTTGTGTACTACAGCTTCATGAATTGGCAGCATGTGCCGACTGCATTTAGGTGGACTTTGCTGCTACACAACATACAGCACATGTTATAACAGTAGCTTATGCTATAATACAGCATATCTTTTTTTTCTTGAGCATTCAAGAAAGTTGCTTCTGTACCTCTGTTACAACAGATTACTGCAAATGCTTGTACAGCATAACGCAGGAGCTGCTGATTTGTATACCCACATGACTGAGATTTTCATTTCATGTGCCATTTGAATATTTATAGCAAAAAAAAAAGGGCATTTTCAGTAATTCTGAGGACCACAACAGACCAAAGTCTTTTGACTTCTATTTTTTTTTTTTATTCTACCTTTGAGGAGCTGTATTTGTAAACCAGTCTTTTGATAGCGTTGATTTTCCTTTGTGATGAAACAGGAGGAAAAGTAACGTCACGGGCACAGTGAAAGCCAGTGCACACATCTGTCTGAACACTTGATAATTTATTAGATAAGATATATACAGTAATTCCATATGTACATAAGGCTTCTTAAAATAATTCAACGTGGACAATAAGTTGATTGTATGACTGGAAACTGTTGCAAAACTATTGAAAGAAACGATCTAATTTTGTGCAAAAGTCAAACATCATTTCACTGTGGCAGGGGCTGGGAAAGCCAGTTTCAAATGATTCAGGTCTCTGTTCCTGAAGTTTTTTTTTTCTGTGAAACAGATTTTATACAAAAAGCTGTAAAACATATTTATCTGATGGAGTTTTGAAAGATACAGATGCAAGAGATGGGTATCGTAAAATGTTCCTCTTCATCAGGACAGGGCAGTATTAGGGAAGTTTCTGCCTTGTTACTCTACCGATATTCTGGTTCAAACTTCAGAACCTTAAAACTAGTGGAATCTCTTCAAATGTATCTGATAATTACTGAAGGTTGGTGAAGCTGATGCTGTCATTATCAGGGTCACTTCCCAAACTTCTACACGCTCCATGTGTTATCAGCAGAAATGGAAATATTTTAGTGTTAGACTGGCTGTAACTAAATTATTTCCAAATCAGTGTTCTACACACCTTACTGCTGTCCCATAGACCCTGAGTGGTGCTGTTGAAATGGTCCATTTATATTTCATCGTGCATTTTCATTCATGGTTGAACTTCTTTACTACTTCCAGGTGAAGCCTTTTTATCCCTGAACCCTGTCAGACAGCATAGGAAAAGCATTCACTCTGTTGCATGAAAATTATCCCATAAGAAGTTTTTAATCTAGTGAGGTTTTTTCATTGTAAGCCAACACGAGCCTTCTGTTTACCCAAGATTTAAAAACAAAAGTTTGGGATGATTTTAATTTAAAGGAAAAATGTAAATTCAAAATCACCGAAGACTTAGGTAAGGATTTTAAAATAAAACCGTGAAAACGTGCTGGTTAAAATGGTCTTTTTATTTCTTTCCAGTATGGCAGTGGCAGAAGCCCATAGGAAAAAAAATTCCTATGTTTTTTGATTGTGTTTTTCTGTTTTTCTTAAAACAGATTTTCAGAATTTTGTGAATTTTTATTCTAGCTGATACAGACATATTTCTATCAGCCCTGGAAATAAAAGGCCACTTAAATTTATATGGGTGAATTAATCCACATTACGTCTCAGCTTTACAGTTGTGAATTCTGCAGATGTACTGTGAGAAGGGTTTTTATTTACACTTCTTTTTGAGGTTTGGCTCATTTGGCTTTGTTTCTGCTTGGAAGGAAATAAGAAACATCATATTATGATCATACACAATGACTAAACACATTCGGTACTTTTGTGCGGCTGTTGATGTA